CTACTTCTTTTGCATGCAGAATGTAGGATAAGTGAAGAACAAGTTATAATTTTATTACATAATCACCAACACATTGGGAAAAGTGAAGCACGGAGTAGCCCTGAATGGGACTAAAAGTAGCCCAAAATTCCACATTAGGAGTATACTTCTTCTATTCCTAAAACAGGAGTAATATACGTCTCTTCTTCCTATTCTACTCCCAACCTATAATTTCTAATAGATTTATTTATTAATAACATAAATTATAGTTTTATTTATAATAGAAACATAAAAAATTGTAATTTTTTTAATAAATGAATAAAAAACAGGAGAAAAAAAAAATAAAAAAAATAAAAAATAAAAAAAAAAATTTAAAAAATTAAAATAAAACACCTAAAAAATCTTAAAAACATGTAGGCCACTACCTCTATATCCCCCACCTCCCAGCACCACCACCTCTAATCGCCATAAAAAATGTCATCTTGTGTAAAAAATCCCACATTTCTCTGAAATTGCCATAAAGATGTCATTTTTACTCTTTGAAAGTATTCAACTCTCTTTTCAAAATTGCCATCACGATGACTTTTTTTCTCAACTTGGCAATCTTTTCCGGTGATCGGAGGTGGCGGTGCTGGAAGGTGGCTGAGGTGGTTGTTGAGGTCGCTAAGGATTATTAAGATACTTTGATTGGACAATTTAAAAAGGTGTAATTTGAGTTTGCACCCCATTTTATTGTCCAGAAATGCCACTCCATTAACAATTCTGTTGGCTTTCAACATATTCCTGATCGAGGGGCATTTTTGTCTTTTCATACGGTGTTAAGGTGCAAAAACAAAGATTTTTAAAAACGGGGTGCAAAGTCCAATTCGGACAATAAAATTGGGTGCAAACTCAAATTACCCCATTTGAAAATATACCTCTCCAAATCTAATTTAATAAATATTATAAACATAAATAAATAGAAGTAAGGTCAAAATGTACATATAAAAACTTCTTAAAAGTGTTATACTTCTACGATCGTACATTCTTATGTGTGTTAACTTATACGTAGTTCACATTTCTTGCGTGCCCTCAATTATATCTTTTGATTATTTTCTTGGGTTTCATCGCAAAAATTATTACTAAAATAAAAGTTATTTACAAAATATGACTATTAGTTATTACAATGTAATGTCATGGTAATTCGTAACATCTTAAAGTTCACATTTCTTGCGTGCCCTCAATTATATCTTTTGATTATTTTCTCGGTTTTCCCCGCAGAAATTATTACTAAAATAAAAGTTATTTACAAAATATGACTATTAGTTATTACAATGTAATGTCATGGTAATTTAAGTTTAAAAATGAATATAAGTACCACGATTTCATTACTACTCTAGTCACTACTCACATTTTTGTAAACAATCTTTATTTTAATCACATATATGTATTTATTTTCTGTGTACTTAATGATATTTGTGAATTGGGAATGGAAGCGGTTGGTTTTCCATGGGACCTACGGGTAACGAGTGCATACTTTAATCCCTACTGAATTTAAATTTTATCATCTTATCAATCAAAATTTATACGAAACACAACTATCTTTGATTATGGGCACTGAATTGTGTAATAATTCAAATAAATAAGATGAAGTTACATTTCTGACTGAATTTACTAGAGCTATTGTAGCGAAGCATTTTAGCTATATTCATATACTTATTTCTTTAATTTATTACCAAAATATATTTTAAATAAAATCTTCCATATTTCAACAGATTCAGTCAATTCAGTCGTTTCAGACAACATTTTATCAATTTCAACAGATTCAGCCGATTCAACCAATTTTAATATTACCATTCGAGTCTTGAAAAGATAAAATTCCTTGAAAAAACAAGTGGAGAGTGATATTGAAACCAAAAGTTGTGTTAACAACTAATCAGTTAACACTTGGTCAGTAAATGAACGCTTATTATTAGTCAGTTACGACTTGTTTGAATCGAGTTAATATCGACAGTTACGGCGCTTGTTTAGGTTAATTTCAAAAGGTAAAAAAGAAACATTTGAAAAGAAGGTTAAAAGATTTGATTCGACTATGGTATACCCTTTTATGCGATTATTATACGCAAATGTGTTTTTATAACTTTCTTAAATTAAGAAAATAGAGAGTTAAAATTTTAAAATAAGTTAAGTTTATGTCATACATGGAACGAGTATTATTTTGGCTAGTTAACGATTATGATGAACTATAACAAATCAGTGCCCAGGTTTGTAATTATGTATAAAATCATGGGAAGCTTGTTTTTGCACCGTTTATTTTGAACACAATTAGACATTGCACTATATTTAAACAAACAATGTGCGCGTCTCTTCAGATAGAAAAAACAAATCAACCCTTTCAATTCATTCTTTAACAAATTTTGGAGCAGATGAGTTAGAATATCCTCCAAATATCTTTTTATGAAACTAGGCGAGTCACTAAGTCTAATATAAACATGAATGACTTTGGTTCTAATATGGTCTGATTTAGTAAAGCGTGATATTTTGTACAAGTTTTATGGTCTAAATTTAATCTTATATATAATTTGATATGATCTGATGTGTACGACTTTAGTCTGGCTTACTTAAGTATAATATGATATGATCTCGTATGTCCAAATCTAGTTTGAGAATTGAGAGGAAACAATCCAGCTCAGCTGGTATTCGACTCACTCTCTTATATGGGAGGTCTCGAGTTCGTAACTTTATGAAAAAAGTTTCAGCTTATTTACTCCAGACCTCTCGGCCTTCCAAGCCCCTCCTCCTCAGACCTCCCTAGAGTAAAAATAAAACCAACTTTTAAATCTAGTTTGATCTAATTATATTTGATCAATTATATTTGATCTATATACTTGTGGACAAATTTAACCAGATGTATACTAGGTATTAGTTAGCTATTCTTAAAATAATGATGAAGGGTGGATAATGGATGAAGCTCCCCTTGTGTCCGGACGGACGGCACCCAATGTTTCTTGCATTTGAAAAGAAAGTTTTGCACCTATATATAGAGAAAAGATCATGCGGAAAGTCTCTCTTAGGTTGAGAAGCTGTGGAATCTAACTTATAAGCTAAAAACACGAACTTTTAACCAATAAATCATAACTTATAGACCCACTCCAAAAAAATTATGAAAATTCCACCGCGTCAACATAACTCCAGAAATTAGGATTTTTTTATATAAATGATATACGTAACTTGCAAAATGTGCATTGATATGAAAATCGTAAGGTTTGTTAGTTGAACATCACAACATTTTCATTGAGTATCAAACCTCATCGATTGAGATCGATGGAAATTATGATTTATGTTAAATGTGCATTAATGAATTTTTAATGAGCATCAGACCTATACAAATGAGCATATGTAACTTACAAGATGAGCATTGATATGAAAACTGTAAGTTTTGTTCGTTGAACATCAAGATATTTTCAGTGAGCATCAAACTTCCGTTATTGAGTATTAGAATCGTGCGGTTGATTATCATGATTTGTGGTCTCATGTCTATAATCAACTTCTATGTGAATATAATGTTATATGAAACTTTTGAAATATGCATTGATATAACTTTTTGAAATGAGAATAACAGAGGTACTAAATGGACATATATAACTTACAAAATGAGTTTTCAAAAAACCAAAAGCTCATTTGTGGATGTTCATTCTATTTAGTCGTTTTTCTCATTGAGTTTAAAATAAAATATATGTAGTAGATTTTATACTCCATCCGTCCCTTAAAACTTTGTCATCTTTCCTTTTTGGGACGTCCCAAAAAACTTTGGCACTTTCCCTTTTAATCAATTATTTTGTGATTTCTGTTTTTTTCTCTCCTCTGCACAAATCTCAACCACACAGTTTTTACTTTATTATTCTCCGTGCCGATCAACTTTGGCAAAGTTTTAAGGGATGGAGGTAGTAATATTTTATATTATACATTTTCATAATAATAGAATATAACATTAAAGTAGAAGATTACTAAAAAACAAAAACAAAAAAGATAGGGGAACAAACAATAAAAAAAATAAAAGAAAGGAGAATAAAAAAATAAAAAAGAAAGCACAAACATTAAAGTAGCTAGAAAGGAGAATAAAAAGGAGTAGCCCCACTCACGTTCACTTGTCCAGGAAGGGCGACGCAAGGAGCAGACGGAAATAAATAGAAGAGCTCAACTTACCCTATTAACTATCCTCAAACTTACTATTAATTACAAAAAGACCAGGTGCACATGTACATCCGGGTGTAGGATATAAATTGTCGTATTATACTGCCTCCATCTACCTGTAATTGAAACATGAGACATTTGAGAATTGCACGATTATTAACAAATTGTAAATTTATTTCTCTTCCTTTCATTCAAAAGTTATAACTTCACCTTTTGGTCAGTCTCATTTACAGATTTATACTTTTATTTTAAGAAACAATTAACATCTTTAAATAATTAATTCTTCCAAAAAAATCTTTAATTAATTAATTAATTATCAAATATTAAAAATAGTACATGTTTAACATCACACTTATCATTAATAACCCATTATATTATATATTCATCAAAACTATTTCTCAAAATATATACTCGAATTAGCATTTTAATTACTGTCTAAATAATCGTGTCATTTTGCAATGAAAACTTTTGAACGAGACGGATGTAGTATGATGGGTATTTGTAAATGTTATATATACATATATAGTAAAATACAATCATCATAACCACAAAAATAATTAAATATGGTATGATAGAAATATATGCTAAAAAGGAAGAAAATGATGTGAAACCGTTGGAGGGAGGAGTAGGAATTATTTGAAAGGAGTTTGTTTTAACTTTTAACACCAAAAGTCCAAAAGCAGAAGGAGTTTGTTTTTCTTTCCCATCTATCTAACTAAATAAGAGGAGAGTTACCCGCAACACGGACTTCTTCTGTACCTGTAGTTATTTGTGTTCGGATAGTCCATTTGCGTATAAATCCAGGCCAGGCATCATATCCATTTTTTACACTTGTCCTTACACTACAGCCTTCCCTAACGCCAACAATTCTAACCGCCGTTGGTGATTTGACCCGCCATGGCCGCCGGAGGAGGAGGAGCAGTGATCCCATCGGTGCCGCTGCTGAAAGATGAGCTCGACATCGTGATACCCACGATCAGGAATCTCGATTTCCTGGAGATGTGGAGGCCTTTCTTTCAGCCCTACCATCTCATCATCGTCCAAGATGGAGACCCTTCCAAGACCATCCACGTCCCTGAAGGATTTGACTATGAACTCTACAATCGCAATGACATCAACCGAATCCTCGGACCTAAGGCCTCTTGCATCTCCTTCAAGGACTCTGCTTGCAGGTGCTTTGGGTACATGGTCTCCAAGAAGAAGTACATCTACACCATTGATGATGATTGCTTTGTAAGTTTTGGGATTCTCATCCTCAATTTGTTTTGCATATTTTTGTTTTTGATTGATGAATTGATCTGCGTTTGAATTGCCTGAATTTGATTGCTGAATTGATCTGCGGAATTTTATGCTATTTATGATCTATTACAGTCTTGAGCAATGTGAAGATTCATTTATGTTGTAGAAATGTATGTAATATCTGAACTATGGATCATGACACTGTCTTCTAGATCCGCTTATCTTATGTCTGCATTTTTGTTTCAGGTTGACTTGCGTTATAATATTCGAACTTTAGATATAAAAAATATGTCTTTTTCTAGATCTGATGATGGCCTTACACTTTTTTTACCTAATTTTTCATCTAGACGTTTTTGTTTCTGGCATTAATATATCATTGCCTTAGACCAATTCTTTTTATTTCTCAATAGTTTGGTCCGAGCCATGTAAAGTGATATTTGTCCCTTCATAGTTGATGGTCGCGTGTTAAACAAAATTTCTTTTTTGTACGTATACACTTCAACATGGTCTAAAATTGTGGATGTGGGTAAGATTGTGGCAACTGCACCCACTGTAATGTGTGATAGAGATGATGCGGCTTGAAATAATCTTATTTTTGCCCAAAAAGAAAATATGAAACATATATTTTGTCAAAAAAACTTGATAGTATTTGAGATACGGTTTTTATGGGCCGACACGGTATCAGGCTTCACAGTTTAAATCCCTTCCCTTCAGGGTGAATTCTTTGTTTGTGCTTCGGTGCTCGGCCATTTGAATGATTATTAACTAATCTTCCGATGATTTAAAAACGACATAACATTTGATTATTTGGTGAAGTAGAGTATAAACTATTACTGCATTTTATTTCATCCTTTATTGTTAGATTTGAACCCAATTTTGTTGCAAGAAATATTTTGTTCCAAACTAGAAGAGATTTTTTCAATTTATTAAACCAATCTACGAATAAATTTAGTCATCAAGTATCTTAACTGATCCATTTCAGTCCATTGCACAAAAACAACCTTCATGATTGGACTAAAATATGCAAGAGGAATAGTTTTGTCCAAATTGTATAGTCGCAAACTAATTAGAGTCCAAAAGAAATTGATGGCTAAATTGAATATGGTCAAGGGACTAAACATAAAAAAATTGATGTTGTATGCATCTATTTGTGCTTAGTATTCCAACTCAGTTATATACTAGCTTACTAGGTTTAGTTCATTGGTGATCCAGTTTATTTTTTATGCATAAGTTTGTGATCTACTTATGGTATACTCATGGCCTATTAGGTTTGGAGGCTTAGGGAAACTTGTAGCCTACTAAGTTTATGACTTAATACATAAGTCGTGGTGATCTTCTTATGGTGACTTAGGTTGAATTAACATGATATTGGACCAAAGCCTTATTATAAGGTGGTTTGTGGGTGTACACACACTGCACACAAGATGGTTTGGATCCATTTTCCCACCCTTAAAAGTGGGGTGCCTGCACGCTAGGTGATAGTTGAGGTGTCCGCACATTAGTGGGTTGTCTAGTGAGGCTTAAGTTAAGAGGGCGTGTTCAGTATCACACAGTTATTTTCTGGGTCTAGTATAAAATCTTGAGTTGAACCTCACATGTTGAAGATTTTTTGGCTTGATTTGGAATTTGGATACAATTTAACAGTTTCATTTTGAGGATTTTGCTGTGGTATAAATTTTCTCTGATGTGTTTTTATATATGAGAATGTGCAGGTTGCCAAAGACCCATCTGGAAAAGAAATCAATGCTCTTGAGCAGCACATCAAGAATCTTTTATGTCCTGCGACCCCACATTTCTTCAATACTCTCTATGACCCGTATAGAGACGGTGCTGACTTTGTGCGTGGCTATCCTTTTAGTCTCCGTGAGGGAGTTCCCACTGCTGTTTCTCATGGCCTTTGGCTCAACATTCCTGACTATGATGCCCCAACCCAGCTCGTTAAGCCTCGTGAGAGGAACACCAGGCATGTGCTGTTTTTTAGGACTAAATTCTTAGGGTCTATTTGGAACTCAGGAAATGATGGAAAGAGAAAAGAGGTCATTTTTGGAATAAAGAAAATAGAGGGGGGGGGGGGGGGGGGGAGTTGCTTCAAATACAACGATCATTTTAAGATCTCCGTTCAATCTCTTTTTCTTTTAATATTTCTATTGTAGAACGACTAATAAATAAATGTATATAAAATTTTATATGATTTTATTTAATTTTGAATATCCTTTTGTATTTTCTTAGATAAACCAATCATAAAAAATGACCACTCTCCTTAATATGAGTTTCTTTGTTCCTTTTCCTATTGGGTTCCTAGTGCCAAATAACATGTGATATGGTTGTGTGGATTAAAACATCTCTCTGTCTGTTTAACATTGAGCATTGTTTCAGATATGTAGATGCAGTTTTGACCATTCCAAAGGGAACTCTGTTCCCTATGTGTGGCATGAATTTGGCGTTTGACCGTGAGCTGATAGGCCCTGCTATGTACTTCGGACTCATGGGTGATGGACAGCCAATTGGACGCTACGATGATATGTGGGCTGGTTGGTGTACCAAGGTAAGAATTAGCTCTTGAACTTGCTATATGTTCTAAAAATCTCATCTAATCTATCAAATCCTCGCCTAGGCACTACTCTTTGTTGCCTAACTATTTCCTAGGCTACAAAGCACTTTTATAGAACACTAAACTTTTCATCTGAATTGAGTGTCACGTCTTTGTATCACATGAAAACACTTTTAGCTATAAATGATATATGGCTCAGTACCCAAAAAATGACCCTTAACCAAAATAATACAATGACTCAAAACTTTCAAAAATGTCATGCTTTCCTTTGCACATGAATGGGCACAAAAGGGAACTCAAACACAAAGTTACTTACAAGATGAAGGGTATGTTTGGCACGACTAGCTGAAAATATACTTTTGTGAGCTTTTTAATAACTGTTAGCTTTTAGTGACTGAAAAGACCTTAAAAAGAAAAGATGGTAGCTGTTTGGTAAAAAGCCGACTGTTTGATTTAGTTCTGTTTGGTATACAAGCTGTTAGAACAAGTTAATACTAAAAGTCATGGTCTTTTCTCAGATGCTACTCCCCGTAGCATCTCAAAAAAGATCTTTTATTTTTTGAAAAGCTCTTAAAATTTTTCATGTCAAACATACAACTAAAAGCTTTTAGAGACTTTTTAAACAGTACAAAAGCTAGAAGGCAGAGACTTATGTCTGCCAAACGTGCACGAAAGCTGTAATGATGCAACACTGATCACAGCCATGAGACAATGCCTTGACAAAAAAATCCCCAAAACTCGGCCCAAACTGTATAAGTAGTTTGTATCTATAATTTGTTTTTGGTTGTTACAACTGGTCTTATCTTAGCAACTTTACGGGTCTGAGTGAGACTTTTGAACAGTTCAAGGTTAATTAGGTTTATTATATTAAAAGTTTTGTTGTAGCTTAAGGGCATTTGTCCTTAATTAAGCACACAAACCTTTGGTGACATAATCTTGTCTTGTGTGCCACTGTTGTTACATAAACAATATATAATTAAGCAGTGGGAGTTGATTATTTGATGTAACTCATTTGTGGATTATGAAAGAAACTAAATTCATATTCTCAAAATTTGCAGGTTATATGTGACCATTTGGGTCTAGGAATCAAGACGGGTCTTCCGTACATATGGCACAGCAAAGCGAGTAACCCTTTTGTCAATCTCAAAAAGGAGTACAAGGGTATCTTCTGGCAAGAAGAGATCATTCCCTTCTTCCAATCTGTCACTCTCTCTAAGGATTGCACCACCGTCCAGAAGTGCTACATTGAGCTTGCCAAACAAGTCAATGAAAAGTTAGCCAAGGTTGACCCCTACTTCAAAAATTTGGCTGATGCCATGGTCACATGGATTGAAGCTTGGGATGAGCTCAACCCTATCAGTGAGGACTTCGCTAAGCTATCCATTTCCAAGGGCGCCGCAAAATAGATTTACCTCAAGTTTATATACATCTATTTTTCCCTTCGTCTTACCGCGGTTTTGCTTGCCACGGCCCCTTGCTTTAATTTATATTTGAGTAATTGTTGGATTTTCTTTTTGAAGAGACATTGAGGCTCCTATACCCCCATTCTGCTAATATATATATACATAGTATTATATAACTATTGCCTTTAAACTGTCATATCCAATTGTATTGAATGGGCCTTGGGTAGGTTAACCTGCCTCAGTTCTTGGAGAGGCCGGGTTTTTCCCCCCCGAGAATGAAGCATTTTATGGTTCCAAACATCAGTTGTTACTGGGATCGAGTTCCTCCAAAGAAGGACTGAACCGGTTTGTTCTGGTTTCAAATTTACTAGGCTAAAAAGTATTTATTACCTGATCTTCTAGTTGTTTGTGATCGGGTCATTATTACCTCTTACGTTTTTTACTCTAAGAGCAAACAGGCTAGTTTGGACTTTGGAACATGATTAATCCACATTTGGTCTCAAGTAGGTGTTGACCCGGTCCGATGATTTGGCCCAGTCTGGAATCGGGTCTGACATTGTTTGGGACCGGACCTCAGTTGTTACTGGGACCGGGTTCCTCCAAAGAAGGACTGAACCGGTTTGTTCTGGTTTCAATTTTACTAGGCTTAAAGTATTTATTACTTGATCTTCTAGTTGTCTGTGATCGGGTCATTATTACTTGTTACGGTTTTTACTCTAAGAGCAAACAGGCTAGTTTGGAACAAGATTAATCCACATTTGGTCTCAAGTAGGTGTTGGCCCGGTCCGATGGTTTGGCCCAATCTGGAATCGAGTCTGGCATTGTTTGGGACCGGATCAGGTCTGTTTTTCCCATCTTGGTTCGAGACCGGGTACTTGATCGGGTAATCGGTGGGCTTTGTCCCAGTTCTGGGCTTGAGTTTTGGGGACCGGACCGGGTAGTTTCGGGCCTCGCTCGACTATTTTTTTTCCCCTTGAAAACGAAAAGCAATATAATCGGATTGGGTTCGGCCTGGGATCGGGATCGGGAGCGGACTGCCTGGGAACTTGGAACCTGCCAAGACGCGGATTTAACCGGGTTGGACCTGGTCATCCCCTAACCATGATGCCATGATGGGGATCGGCTAGTTCGGGACTGATTGGTTAGGGAGCAGAACCGGAACTGAACCCGAATCGGGTAGGGATGGACCGGGACCGGGCCAGGTTGGGCTTCGGATCAGGATTGGGTAGGATCGAGACTAAATATTTCAAACCTGGTACCGTCCTGGGTTTGTATCTGGCCAGGCCTAAATAGTACTGGGTCGGGACCGAGCCTGGACGGGCCTGAGCAATTAATTAAAAAAAATAGTGCAATCGGGTCCATGACTGGCCCGACCAGGTCGGTCCTAACAAAATGAGCCTGAAGCCCGCCCTTATAGCCATAGGACCGGGATCGGGCTGGGCTTCAGGCCTAAAGAAGACCGGGCCAGGCTGAGGTTGTGCCGGGATCGGGCCAGGCCGACCCGTCCCAGTTCATCCCTAAGTTGTGTTATGAACTCTATGATGTCTTCTTTGATCTGAAAAATGACCTTGACATTGACGCAATTAAACAGGTAAAGCAACTCATATGTTACTACATCCGTCCTGAAAAGGTTCGCCATATTGACTTTTTTAAGGGATGTCCAAAAAAGAAAAGTGGGAAGATAGAATAGATAGGGACACAAGGAGCATTTTTTAATAAGATTTTTTTTTTAAAAAAGAAGAAGATAAAGCACATTAAAAAATATGGAGGCTTTTGCCGCAACCTCGTCCACCTCCCTGCAATGCCCGCCATCTCCAATCGATGAAGAAAATGTCATTTTGTGTAAAAACTGCCACTTTTTTTCTTAAAATGTCATGAAGATGACATTTTAACTCTTTGAAAATGTCGACATTTTCTTGAACTCTCATCAAGATGGCATTATCAATGCATGTTGACCGTGTTTTTCGGTAGTAGGAGCTGATGGTGCTAGGAGGCGGCAGCAGATGCATGCATATTTGCTTCCCATTTTTTATTTTGTTTATTTTAGTTTTTTAAGTTTTTTAAATTGTATACTAATTTTTTATTTCTGTTAATTTTATTTAATATTTATATTCATGTTTTTTATTTTTAACATTTTTTTTATAAATAAACTTATGTTATTAGTTTATAATTTAATTATTTATGAAATATAAACTGCGTGAAAACTGAAAACTGTTCATTTACTCCGGCCTATTTGAGGAATTTCCCCTATTTTAATAAAAAATGTGCAATTCCATAAACCTCTTTACATTATTCTCATTTATATCATGGAAATAATATTTCTCACCTTAATCGGACTATATATATATATATATATATATATATATATATATAATAAATACAAACATGAAAAAAGATTTAATAATCTTTTTCAGCAACGTCATACAATTCACTCACAAATTCATGAGCCTAATTTAATAATATTCACAAATTCTCTCACAAATTCATGAGCCTATATATATGTATAGAGAAATGATCTTGTCCAACACTTTCCCGTCCGAACACCGTCCGAACATCGCCGTATGGAGCATTTTCTGGTGGAATTTTTTGATGAAATTTTTGGACATGTTACTCATCAAGTCTAGTTTATCCACAAAACATTTCAGCTCAAATTTCGATCGAGAAGGCAGTCAAATTAGTTTGTGAAGTTGACTGCGTTTTTATATGTATATTTTGGCGCAGTCAACTTCAAAAAATGCTTTGACAGCCTTCCCGATCGAATTTTGAGCTGAATTGTTGTTTGGATAAACTAGACTTGATGAGGAACATGCCCGATAAATTTCATCAAAAAATTACACCGGGAAGTGCCCCAAACGACGATGTTTGGACGGTGTTCGAAGGGGGAGTGCTGGACATGATCATTTCTCTCTCTCTCTCTCTCTCTATATATATATATATATATATATATATATATATATATATATATATATATATATATATATATATATATAGGTTTCGGATCAAATAAAAATCTCTCTTAACGTGAAAACTGAAAACCGTTCACTTTTATCCGGATGTGATGCACTTTAAGGGTGATCTGTTGCAGATTTTGAACTGTTATATATATATATATATATATATATATATATATATATATATATATATATATATATATATATATATATATATATAACAAGCTATATATATCATGTGATACATTTCAAATAAACAACGTTTATCGTGACAATGTCATAACACACGTGAAAAGTAAAAAATTAGGCTCATCCGCTCATGAATTTGTGAGTGAATTGTATGAAGTTGCTGAAAAAGATTATTAAATCTATTTTCATGTTTCCATTAATTATATTAACAAAACATAATTTAATTTTTTTATATAATTGAGGATTTAGCCATTTAAGCCTAAATTTTAGAAATTTAGCAAATTAGTCTAATAAGTCAATTTCGGTTTTATTAAATGGGTTCATAATGAATTTATCGTAATTAACATACCATTTCGTTCTTTCTTAAACATTAATGTTATGAAATTGTTAGTTTATTATTGATTGCTTTATTTATGTATAAAGCATTTTTTTCACACACAAAAAAGAAGTTTGCTGAAGATGGTGACTAGTAATACAAGCATGACTGCATGAGTCACTTTCTGGTTTCCTAATTTAGACATGCACCCACAAAAGGGAACCTATTGCACATAGAGTGCAGGGAAACCATAACCCTCTCTAGTTTTCTTTGTTCAGTGATGAAGCTGCATTAACTCACTCATGAATGCAACTCATCCTTTTCTCCTTGCGATCTGCTTTTTGTTTGTTTATGGTGTGTGTATAAAAAAAGGATGGACATCCCATCCTTGAGGGCCCCCAACCCCGACAGGGTGGTACGTTTGGAGGATGTAAATTGGACTTTAATCACAATCTGACAGATAGAGAGTGAAACTCTGTCCCCGGTACTTGCAGAGGCCATATGCATTTTTTTTAGCATGGTAACCTGTCATCGCAGTTGCTGGGTTTCGAACCCGGGACCAAACCCTTGCGGCACTCCCTTGCAACCAGTTGAACTACGTCCGTGTGTGTATATGAATATATGATCCTCATGCCACTCCTTGGCCATCTTCATTTTTTGTACTGCTTCAGTTTGAGATCTCTGGTGGTTAATATTTTTCACTAGGTCTGCATCTCACTCATAGAATGACTAGACATACATATATAACGTGACAGAATCAGAAAATTATGCAAATCACAGGTATAATATTATTACATGAAATTTATACCTTATCTCAATTGGGATAGTCCGGATAGATGTTTTTTTATATGAATTTTATAACTATCGAAGTCTGGTCTAATAGTTTCAATTTGGTCCGGTCTATTCTAGTTTGATCTGGTCTTGTCAAATATGAGATTGAAATCACGCCAACTAAAAACATACTTATTCTCCATGCGTGACAATAGAGTTACACTACGTATTATATATACGTTCTGTTATATTCAAAGTTCAAACAATGAACATTTCTCATTTACACATTGAATTTTCCTTCAACTACAAAATGAACTCTTTCAATTTTTAATTTAAATGAGTACTGTATTAAATGAAAAATGAGCGAAGAAAAATTATACGTAGTAATTATAATGGATGATCAAAACGTAGTTACGAAATGAGTAAATAGTCATTTACTCGAAACATTATTCAACGGTGGAGGAGGTTATTGGACAACGGTGGTGCCACTAGTGGGAAATATAGATTTAATAACGATTATAATGGACTTTTAATAACGGTTCAGAACCGTTATTGTTGAAGCACACACATTGATGGAGGTGGAAATCATTGGCTGAAAAATGGGGTTGTGGTGAGCTCTGGATAACAGGTTCTCCAGAAAAACTAGACATGTTGTGAATCTAGCACAAATAATTCTATGTGTAATTCTAGGTCTAATGACCGAATTGAGGTGTTTGTATAACCGATGTTCTACGTGCTCTTGATATATTAATATACGTCTTTTCCATAAATAATGAGTAAATTATGTTAATAGAAATTGCTCTAAGTAGGAGCAAAAACGTTTTGAAAATCCAAAATAGGAGTATCATGTTTTTTATTACCTGAATAGGAGTGAGTAATCTGCCAAGTTTGGAAAAAATGCCTTGTTTAACGCCTAGTAATGCCAAACTTGGCAGAAATTTACTCATATTCAAGGAATAAAAAACATGATAGTCCTATTTTGGAATTTCAAATTTTTTTTACTCCTATTTAGGGAATTCTCCCTTATATTAATGATAATTACATCCAATGTATCATAGAATTTGTCAAGCCTGATGATTTGAGAGACACATACTAGCAAGTAGCAAGGTAATATTCATCATCATTAAGACTTGGTAATTGGTTATTTAGGATATTTTCACTTGGACTCTAATTTGTTGGTCCAGTATGATCTGTTTAAGTCTGGCCTGGTCTG